ACAGCTCCTCACAGAGACCTTGTTCTAATAATTGTAAGGATTAAATCAAAGGGGACGGTTTTGTTTTACTGTTTCTAAATTTAGAATGATGACCAAAGCCTTGTCAAAGAGGCCAGGACTGACAAGAAGCACATGCACACCTCAGAGGCCATTGGTGACTGATAGCCAGTATACCGTGAAAGATTTCACATTCTTCAGCTCTAATCTCTTATAACAAAATGAAACCCAAAACTAACCTGAGAGAAAATGTCTGCTCTGTTTAGTGTCCTCTCATGTGCCATATATGTTGTTGTGTATGTTTTTGGTGGATTAGAGCTACTGTTTACTTATTTTCTGCTTGGTCAGCAGTGCTATTGTTTTAGTGGACATTTTCAAAAGCCATTTGTTTTTGTTAGTAATCTAAGATGAGCTCTGTAAGTATTTGTGAAAGGGAGAAAGCAGTCTTATGTATTTCCTTTCAGTAGCTGTGACGGACTTTAGAGGCAAAGCATGATGTTGTCCATTGTATAGATGTATCTGAAGTATCTTTTCCCGAAGTTACCTCTCCATCAGATGGGATAAAGCTACACAAATCTAATTGAATATACCTTCAACCAGTATTAAAGGATTTCTAATGAAAATGTCTGATAAAAGTTTAATGTTCCTTGTCCCCAAGTTGGATTAAACTCCATAATAATGATAATGACAAGAGTGCCTTCCCCACTCTGCTTCTCTGCCTACTTTGTTTTTATTAAATATCAATTTGTACAATAGCAGCTAGAGGCCGCCTAGTCAGGGATTGCATCCCACTGTACAAGGCAAGTAAAAGAAAAAGTTCTTTCCCCAAAGAGCTTGCTGTCTTGGTGTGTGAGAAATGAGATAGATGAAGTAAATAGATGGGTAGGGTAACTACTGTTCCCTGCCAGAAGTACTCCCCTCTCTGCTTCCTGTTCCCTTTTTGTAGCTCTGATCCCTCACCACCACCCCTCTATATCATTCTCTTTGCACCACCAACTTTTTAGCTTCTTTCCCCACCTCACTTCTGCTCTGTCATCCCCTCCCAATTGTTCCCCACTTCCTTCTGTCTCACTTCCTTTTCCTACCCTCTCTGAATGCAATGAATTCACATCTGCTTCCACCAGGGCTGAATGTGGCCACCCATGTCAGTCTCACTCACCCCTTTGCTTTTCGTTCCTCAGTTTCTTTTCTCCTATTTCCCCCATTGCTTCTCTCTCCCCCCCCCACTCCTCCCTTCTGTTTTTCATCTCTATCCTTCCTCTTGCTGCTCTTCTGCTTATCCTCCCAACCGTTCTCCTTTTTTTTAAAATCCCATGTCGCCATCTCTGCCAGTTGTTCTTCTCTCCAGTCTTCTTTGCTCTGCCTTTCTCTTCCCCATTCCACTAGTCCTCTGCTTATTATTCCCTTCTCTGTCAGCCACTAACTGATTAGGAAGAACTGCTTGCCCCCCCTCCGTAGACTAGTTATTGCATAATTATTCACTAGAGACGAAGGATTTCTTGCACCTTCTTCTCTAGCATCTGGTCCTGGCTGCTTTCAGAGATGGGATGCTGTACTAGGCTATTAGTCTAAGGCTACGTCCTCACTATGGGGGCGGGTTGATTTAAGATACGCAAATTCAAATTCGATGTATCGGAGCTGACTTACCCCGCTGTGAGGACGGCGGCAAATCGACCTCCGCGGCTCCCCCATCAACGGCGCTTATTCCTACCTCCGCTGGTGGAGTAGAAACGTCGATTCGGGGATTGATTGTCGCGTCCCGACGAGACGCGATAATTCGATCCCCGAGAGATCGATTTCTACCCGCCGATTCAGGTGGGTAGCGTAGACCTGCCCTGAAATAGCATGGTAATTTCCAAGTTACCCAACAGAGGGATAACTTAGATGTATAAACTTCAGGCCTTGGAATACTCCTTGGAACCATATGTTCAAATCTGAACAAATTACGTTAGTTCAACACCATGAAGTTTAGAGGCCTTTCTTATAAGAAAAGTAATATGCAAAAAGCAAAAAATGGCTTGCGCACCTTCAATGGATTCTTTGATATAGAAGGAAGACCTGAGAAATGTCTCCAAAAAACTTTTTCCTGTTTGTTTAAACATCAGGTCTGTTCTGCCCTGATTTCACTAGAAGGATTTAATGATAACTGGAGTACAGAGGAGTATGACCGCAAAGATACATGGTGCAAATGAAACCCAGATGAGAGCGGTGGTGATTTTTATTCAGACTGTTTAAAATTTGTTCTTTATTTAACATCTTTTTAATTCACACACATGGGAGACGATTGACAAGATGTCTCTGTTAAATATCAGCACACTCACTCTCTCAATAAAGGGCTAAGAAAGTGCACAATGCACATCTCTGAAACTTCCAGCGAGACTCCTAGCAAAACCAAGAAAGACCAGACTTGCTAGAAGTCTTGTTGGAAGTTTTGCTATTTCTAAGGTATGTGTGGGGGCGGGAGGCACCCTTTTTGTGCAGAGGAAGGAATACTTTAAAGTCATCTTTATAGATCATAATCACCCTTTATGATTTCAAATGTTTAGGGGCAGTACCCAGCACAATGGAGCTTTTACAATGGAGCTTTTAGGCACTAGCATAATAGTATATTAACTCAAGGCGTCATGATCTCTTCAGAGATGTATTTCGGATGAGTCAGGGCTTGCCATGGTGTCCTTGCACATTACACTGCACCCTGCTGTGGTGCAATGTCCTAGACAGTTGTGCCCTCCTGCTCCAGATGTGGGCATAGGAAAGATTCTTTATTAATGTGCGGTTGATTAACCTTGTTTATGAAATACTCAAACTACTTGCGAAATCCAAGAAAAAACATGAATTTGTATGATATTTAATCGATATTATCATTTGTAAAAACACATAGGGCAACAATGTTTGTATTCCTGCATAAACAACATCAAGAAAATTGTTAATATGCACCACGATTATGCTGAATTCCTCATCTCCTTTTGAGACTGCTCCAAAAGTTCATACGCAGCTTTATCAACTTTTATACATACTTGAGTTGTGCAAGTCGAAACAAAACAAAGTTTGCCTCGATGCAAGGACAAGCATCCCTCACACCAAAAAGCACTTTATGCCTATTTATTGTATTAAAAAAACAAACAAAAACCTCTAGATTATTCCTGCCTGGGGCAATCGGAGCACTTCAGTGTTTTCTTAACCAATGGCACACTTAACACTTTTAAAAATGTAACCCTTGTGCTCCTAATGGGCTTGGCTGCATGTCCATTTAAAAATGAGACAAAGCAAAGAGATCAAACAACATCTTTTATGTGTTAGCTGGTAATAAAATTACTAATTGGAAAAACAAAAAGGCCTGTGTTTGGATATTATCTAAACTTACTTAAACTTGTTTAGTTTTATATATCATGGTGATAACTAAAATCTTGCTCATACTGTATTTTTTAGGCCCTGATCTTGCAAAGATGTAATATACATGCTTAACTTCATATGTAAGTAAGTTTCCTTAAAGCCAATGGGACTACTCACATGTCAAATGAAGCAACGGGGCCTTTGCCAGAACGGGGCCTTTGTTGCTAGTTTTTACTAAAGATAAACAATATTGTTGATACCACAAAAATTCTTAAAACAATAACCGTAGCATAGGTACTGAATTACAGTGCCTACATATTACAAAAGTTACAGTAATGATTTACAAAAATCTATACATCCCACTTAGCCTATCTTTATAGAAAAAAATAAATAAATCTGAGACTTTCCCAAGGTGTGAAATTTGGAACTTATCTGAAGTGTGGTGTTATGATTAGAGGGGATGTGGCAAAGTCCTCCCATTTGTGTCCATCTCTTTAAATTAAAAAAAAATATCAAAATTTAGGGGGAGAATTTTACTTCTTGTGAAAAATGCTGGATTAGCATCACTAGAAAATAGTTCTTTTGTTACTCCACAGGTAGACAGAGTATGGGGTGTAGTAGTGCGAGCTTCTCTTCCTTTCAAACTCTGTTATTGGATACTATCCACCTTGGGGAGGGGAAGGGAAGGAACATTATATGGAGACAGGTGCTTACAAAGCCCTGAGATCCAAGCACCAGTTCCTGTCTTTTGTTCCCTGTTATCTCAGAATGTAAGTGAGGCTGAATGAGAAGTTTAGGGCTTACCCCTGCCAGGAACACCCCTAATACTCATTGACTTCAGTGTGGTAGGACTGGGCTCTGTCTCTGCCTACTCCTTATTTTGTACATAAGGAACTAGAATGGAAGAAACACTTAAAACTCCCAATAAGGACCATATATGCTTTAGTGAGATACAGAAGCAGGTTATTATAATTGTGAGATGGGACCATCAAGTACTCCCAAAACATAAAAGCACACATTGCGAAAAGCAGTTTTGCTAGTGTACATAATAGAACAAAACTGTTTACTCCTGAGGTTATTATAGCAAAGCAGAGTCTGGTTGGCAGTTCAGGGGAAACTTCTGAAAGGCCCTAAAATTAAGTTGTTCCAGTTTGCCTTAGTGGTATTGGACAATTTATTCACAGGATGGCCTTATTCATCGTAGTGAGGTCAGCAGGGTTAGTGGTGGGAGTAAAGGGGTCACGATCTGGTCTTTAAACTCTGTTCCTCAGTTTCTCCAGCTGTAAAATGGGGTTATAATGCTACTTCTGTAAATTGTTTCTAGCACTACAGGTGAAAGGACTGTAGCTGTAAGCACTAGCTTTTGCCCACAAGCTTTTCATTGTTGTAGTCAGGACCCCTACTATCAAAGCCCATTTAATGTTTCTCAGCTCTCCTCCCAATTTGCAAAGATAGGTTCATTTGGGGGGGGTTGTTCCTCTGTGGTATTTGCTCCCAAAGGGTTTTTAACTATAAAAACAGGATGACATGGTGCAGAGGGCCCCAGCTGATGCATTATTTTATCAGTTGATCTCCCTTGTGTGAATGGTGTGGAAGGGGTAACTCTGCACAAGGGTAAACAACGCTTGTAGCGGAGATCCTGTGGCTATGTTGTCCTTGTGAGAGAGAAATGTAAGATAAGGCTGGATCTGGAAGGCAGCCATGTGCCGACACTCAGCCTCCCATCGTTCCTACCGCCTAGGGCAGCTTTAGATTGTTGGGTTTTTCTGTCCGAGTCTTTCGGTTTCTTGGACCGTTCGGGTTTTTTTCATCAAAGTCGCTCTCGCCCCCGCCCTCCCCTCTTCCCCACGTGTTTCGTTCTCTTCCTCCGGCGGTAGGATCGCTGGGCAGAACAGAGAACAGGGCTAAGTCTGGATCGCGAGTCATTAAAAACGGACAACGACAAGGGCGATTTCCCCGCGTGTAACACAGGAGCGTAAGAACGGCGTCTCCAGCAGCACTGGGAGATCCCTACGCTAGGAAACTGACTTTCTTCCCCCCCCATCTAGACCCCCCGATAAATACACCCCACCCTCCCCGACAGCCACTCAACTACAGAGCGGCTTGCCTCCGCACTAGCCTGCGGACAGGGCACAGGCTCCAGGGAACTTCTCTCCCGCGTCCAGTCCCACCTCTTGCTGAAGCGCCTAGCTACTCCTGCCTGCCTCCTCCGCAACATCTGGTTACCCCCGCGTCTGCCTGACCCCCAAGCCCCCCTAGTTATCCCTGCCGGCCCCCTCCGCAACACCTGGCTACCCCAGCGTCTGCCTCATCCCCGAGCCCCCCTACCTACGCCTGCCTGCCCCCTCCGTAACATCTGGCTACTGCAGCGTCTGCCTGGTTCCCGAGCTCCCCTAGCTACTTCGCCTGCCGCCTCTGCAACATCTAGACACCGCCAGCCTTTGCCTCGTCCCCTAGCTGCCCCTGCCTGCTCCCTCTGCAACATCTGGCTCCCACTATCCTCACTGCCCGTGCTTCTGGCTAGGACTCCCAGCCCCCGGGTACCGCTGCCTGCTCCCTGTGGAACATCTGGCTGCCGCGGCCGCTCCTCTCCAGGCCGCCCCCGCGCTAACATCTGGCCACTGCTGTGCCGCCGCAGGGGGCCGCTCTCCTCCTCGGCAGGCGGGGTAGGCAAGGGCTGCGGCGCTGCTCTCCGAGGAGGCCGAGGGAGCCGCGGAAGCAGAGGCCGCCCGATGGTGCTGCAGGGCGGCCCAGGAGGGGCTGGGCGGCGTCGGCTGCTGCCCCGGAGCCTGGCTGCCCTGCTCCTGCTCCTGGCTCTGGGGCACACCTGGACCTACCGGGAGGAGCCCGAGGAGCGCGACAGGTGGGTCCCCTGCTTCGCCCCGCCGGGGCCGGCTCCCAGCCCGCGCCGCGTGAGCCCCGGGCTGCACCTGGCAGCCCCAGTCCGGGGCGCCCCCGCCCGGCCCCCCTCGGGCTCTGGCTAAAGCCGCCTCTTCTCTCCGGCTTCTCCCGCAGGGAGGTTTGTTCCGAGAACAAGATCGCCACCAGCCGGTACCCGTGCCTGAAACCCAGCGGCGAGCTGGCCACCTGCTTCAGGTGAGCGAGGCGGGGCCGGGGCCGCGGGCGTGTGTGTGTGTTACCCTGACTGCCCCCTTCTCTCTCTCTCTCTCTCTCTCTGTGTGTGTGTTACCGGGACTTCCCCCTTCTGTGTGTGTGTGTGTGTGTGTTACCGGCAAGTGGGACTGCTGCCTCCGTGTGTGTTTGTTACCGGGATTGCCCCTTTCTGTGTGTGTGTGTGTGTTACCGGGATTGCCCCTTTCTGTGTGTGTGTGTGTGCTACCAGCACGTGGGACTGCCGCCTCCGTGTGTGTGTGTGTGTGTGTTACCGGGACTGCTGCCTCCTTCTCCTCTGTGTGCCGTTACCAAGCACGGCATGTGTGTGTATTACCAGCACGTGGGACTGCCACCTCCGTGTGTGTGTGTGTGTTACCGGGACTGCCCTTGTGTGTGTGTGTGTTACCGGGATTGCCTCCTTCTGTGTGTGTGTGTGTGTATGGTACCAGCATGTGGGATTGCCACCTCCTGAGTGTGTGACACCGTGCCTTGTATGGTATGGTCACTGTGTTATGAGAGTGTGTGTACTTGTTACCAGAATGAGACTGCCGCCTCCTTTGTTTGTGGGGAAGTGCATTGTGTTGTGATAGCTGGTGTGTGCTTGTTGGTATGAGAATATAAGACCATCTTCTTGTGTGTGTGACACTTGTGTGTTGTATTCTGTAGTTACTGTGTTGTGAGAGTGTGTGCTTGTTACACAGTGTGACTGCTGCCTCTAGTAGGCGTGTATGACTCTTGTGTGGCAGGGGGTTGTGTTGTGATAGTGTGTGCTTGTCTTTGTGTGTTGTGATTGGTGTATTATGGCACTTGTGTGGTTGTTGTATTGTCGTAGTGTCGTCATCAAACACACACAGCCTCCCGAGGACTGTTGTCCAGGCAGAGTGGCCACAGTTGCTGGTGTGGCACCAGATATTGTGTAGTGAAGTTCCCAGACTTGGCTCAGTCCTATGAGTGGGTCCCTGTCTGTATGAGAATGCCTGACAGTCTCTCCATGTGTGTTATGATGGATGTGGTGTTATGGCACTTGCGTGACTGTTGTGATCAGCGAGTGTGTGGTGACAGTGAGAGTGTGTATTTTGTGTGTGTGTGTAAGAGTGTGTATTTGGAGTTTGTAGGCTATGGGGCGCTGATAGTAGTACACATGTAAACATTCATGACAGTCCTATCGAGAAGATGAATAGCTGGTTTAACGGTTGCATGTTGTTTATAAAAGTTGTATCTAAAGTCAGCCAGAAAGAAATGTTTAACGTTTGATTGGCTCTGTCATGTTCCCTTGCAAAGTCTTTCAGCAGCTGTCTGCTTAGCGCTTAGACTCAGGGAAGTCGCTCTGTAGAGTGAATGGGAGGCTGTGGTGATGTTGAATTAGGGTCTGTAACAGGTAACCCCCTCTGTACTAGCAACATTTGCTAAATTATAGCCGCTCTCCCTCCACAGAAAGGTACAGCATGGGAAGTAGCAGTACAGGCTTCCAATCACATTGTTCTGGTAGGATTTGTCTTAATCTTAACCTTGAGTGAACAACCTACAGGCGTGAGGGGATAATTCAATCCCTGGGTCCATTTCATAGTTGACCTCTCTGCTGTGACTACCAACAAAGGAACCAATAGTGACAAACATTTTTTTTTAGATAGATACTTGTCTATTATGAACCCACTGAAAACACCATCATATTATTATGGCTTTCGATCATTGCTGGTTTTCATCTGTGCCAGGCTAGAGCATATGTCTTAGAAGTGAATGGTTTCATATTCCACAGGAGTGCAATTCAAGGGAATGATATTGATCTGTGAAACCCTGCATGATTTGCATAACCGACACGTCCTCTTGCCATGCACTAACTAGGGCTACATTTAAAATTAGCCAACATGCCCTAGTTAGCAGCCCCTAGATTTGAATGTTTGGGGCGTGCTGGCCAGATGTTCTCAGTGGAGTGGTCTTGGACTGTGGAACTCACTTTCCCTGTTGATCTGAAAGAGCCTGAGTTTAACCTTTGGGGTATGGTTCATAAATCCATCTATTTACTCAGGACCTTTGCCTGAGATAAGTTGATGGAAAGGATGTTATGTCTTTAAGGATGGCCTTCCCGTAGTTATTGATCAGAGATACTGTCACTGAGTTTCCACTTTTTATTATATGTTTGTAAATTTGAGGAATGTCCTTTTTATATCCAGTTGTCTGCAAGAAATTGTCAAAACTAGAATTGTTTCTAACTTCTATAAATGTATCCAGAGCCTTTGACAAAGACATAACCAGCAAGCAAATGAATATCTAATTACCAATGTTCTCTGAGTAATTAGTCTCTCTCAGACAAGATGTTTAGCCTATGAGAGGCACTTCCCTCTACACAGCCACTTCCAGAAGTAACTGCATTGGTGTGTGTGTGCTAAGTGATCTGCTATTACATATAGGGAGCATGCGATATGGTGAAAGCACTTTAGTGCTAGTGAAAGGCATTAAAGAAATCCATAAATGATAGAGGACAAAGGGGAGTTTTTAAAAACCTCTTTTGGTGCCAGATTGTTTTTCTTTTCACAATGCCTTTTATTTAGTATAAATATAGGTGGTTTGGAAATGTAGCTTTGCAGTGCACATAGGTTCTGCCTCCAGTCTAACTGTAAATGGGGAATTGTCACTAGTGGATGTGTTTCCAGTGGGATCCCTCAGGGAACGGTTTTGGCCTTACGCTGTTTAACATTTTTATCAGTGACCTGGAAGAAAACCATCACTGATAAAGTTTGCAGATGCCACAAAAATTGGGGGAGTGATAAATAATGAAGAAGATAGACTACTGATTGAGAGAGATTTGGATTAATAGGTGAACTGGGAGCAAGCAACATAGGCGCCGACTCAGTGGGTGGTCTGGGGCTGGAGCACCCACGGGGAAAAAATGGTGGGTGCTGAGCACCCACCGGCAACCCCCTTATCAGCTCAGCCCCACCCCCCACCCGTGCCTCCCGCCCGTCGGCGGGCCCCACAGATCAGCACCTGCTGCCTGCCGCAATCAGCTGTTTCATGGCAGGCAGGAGGCTCTGGGCGGGAGTGGGGAGGAGCGAGAACACAGCGTGCTATGGGGAGGGGGTAGAACTAGGTGGGGGCGGGGCCTTGGGGGAAGGAGTGGAATGGGGGTGGGGCTTAGGGCAGAGCCAGGGATGCCCCCCCCCCGGCACTTTGAAAAGTCGGTGCCTGTGGCAAGCAAACAATGTGTGTTTGAATATGGATAAATGTAAATGTGTACATCTAGGAACAAAGAATGTAGGTCATATTTATAGGATGGGGGATTCTATGCTGGGAAGCAGTGACTGAAAAAGATTTGGGGGTTGTGATGGATAATCAACTGATCATAAGTTCCCCGGGTGAAGCTGTGGCTAGAAGAGCCTATAGATCCTGGGATGCATAAACAAGGGGATCTTGAGTAGGAGCAAAGAGGTTTGATACTGATGTGACCACTGCTGGAATACTGTGCCCAGTTCTGGTGCTCACAGTTCAAGAAGGATGTTTATTTGGAGAGCGTTTAGAGAAGGAGAATGACTACAGGATTAGAAAACGTGCCTTATAGTGACGGACTCAAAGACCTCAATCTATTTAGCTTAATACACAGAAGATTAAGGGATGACTTGATTATAGTTGATAAATATCTACATGGGAACAAATATTTAATAATGGGCTCTTCAATTTAGCAGAGAAAGGTTTAACATGATCCAGTGGCTGGAAGTTGAAACTAAACAATTGCAGACTGGAAATAAAGTGTAAATATTTAATAGTGAGAGTAATTAACCATTGGAATAATTTACCAGGGGCTGTGATGGATTCTCCATCACTGACCATTTTAAAATCAAGATTGGATGTTTTTCTAAAAGATCTGCTCTAGGAATTATTTTGCGGAAGTTCTTCAGCCTGTGTTATGCAGAAGGTCAGACTAGATGACACAATGGTCCCTCCCGGCCTTGGAATTGATGAATCTATGAACCCATAACTACATCTGGGGTTACAGAATATACCAATGTAGATGACCAGCCAAAGGGAAGTCACGGTCCAGTCACTGCTGTCCCCAGAAAGCATTAGTATGTCATCACACACTCTAGAAAGGGTTGGATGGTGCCATGACTCAGTCCTTTTTTCTTCACTGGTCCCTGCCCCAACCCATTGCTGAATCTCCTGTCTTCCTTCCTCCCATCCCCATGGCTTTGCCTTTTAAAGGTACAATAGAGCCCATTATTGCATACAATTCCTTAACACACAATACCCCAAAACATTTTACAGAAAGATGGTAATAAGCAGTGAAGAAAAGGAAGGCTGCTGAATGGGATTTAAAGTGTCAGTGGTTCAGAGGCAGAGTTTTCAGATAGATGAGACAGCCTTATTGAGAGAGCAACCCCCGACTGTGGAGAGTTTGAAGACTGAAGGAGCAGAATGAGCAGTGTGAGGTCCATTTACTAAGGTGTGTTTGCCCTCCCTGAAGGGAGAATCATAGAATATCAGGGTTGGAAGGGACCTCAGGAGGTCATCTAGTCCAACCTCCTGCTCAAAGCAAGACCAATCCCAACTAAATCATCCCAGCCAGGGCTTTGTCAATCCGGGCCTTAAAAACCTCTAAGGATGGAGAGTCCACCACCTCCCTAGGTAACCCATTCCAGTGCTTCACCACCCTCCTAGTGAAATAGGTTTTCCTAATATCCAACCTAGACCTCCCCCACTGCAACTTGAGACCATTGCTCCTTGTTCAGTCATCTACCACCTCTGAGAACAGCCTAGCTCCATCCCCTTTGGACCCCCCCCCCCTTTCAGGTAGTTGAAGGCTGCTATCAAATCCCCCTTCTCTTCTTTTCTGCAGACTAAATAAGCCCAATTCCCTCAGCCTCTCCTCGTAAGTCATGTTCCCCAGTCTCCTAATCATTTTTGTTGCCCTCTGCTGGACTCTCTCCAATTTGTCCACATCCTTTCTGTAGTGGGGGGCCCAAAACTCGGATGCAATACTCCAGATG